ATAGATCGTAGATATTAATTTTATTGCTGACATATAGGAAAATGAAGATTTTTATGGCGGTTGGGCTACACTCAATTAGGGAAGAGGAAAAACTCATTTAGTAAATTATATTCATGAAAATCCAAGAAGAAAAACTAATATAATATTATAAAAAGCTTGATAAAAAAATATTAAAAATATGTAAATTATTAACATAATTTTTATTATAGTTATAGATTCAGAGCTATTTGTTCCATGATCTGTTGAGATGTACATTTTTTGAGTTTTAGTAAAACCTAACAAAATTAGCATCCTGAATGAATGTTTTGTCAAAACATGATACTCAATCGATTATCCAAAGTAAACTTTTACAGTGCACTTCTAACATGATAATTGTAGAAAACTTATTGATAAATATTATTAAAATGGAATTTATTTAAATTTGTTTCACGTCGATGCATCTTCTGAACTTGTTGATGTAAAATTCTCCCGGTATACCTCTGAAATACAAACATTTAATAATATATTTAATTATATATATATATATATATATATATATATATATATGTAGTAGGGTGGTTCTTAATATGGACATTTTCAAATTTCCTTGCTCCCAAGGTCTCAAATGGTTCCAAATTGATAAAAAACAATTCTCTGAAAGTTTTAGCTCTTAATATTGTCTTTTAGATATTTTCAATCAAAATTTTGTATTGTCCATATCACGGACCACCTTAAAAATATATATATATATAGATATATATTCATATATATATAATTATAATTATGTTTATAGAAATGAGCATCAAAATTATTCTGGTGTGTTTGGATATAAATTTCAATAAAAATGCAGCACAATTTTTTTATTTGTGAATTCGTTATTTTCAAATCAGAGCAATATACAATTGTAAAAGGCTTTAATTTGATAAACTGCATCGCAAAGATTTCTGCAGCACCAAGAAATGTAGAAAAAGGATGCATTAAAGGACTTTGCAATGATTTATAGACTCTGTTGGGCTTGATAAATAGATCGTATTTTGAAAAACAATACTGGGTAAAAATAAAATAATACTGATATCTATATATATATATATATATATATATATATATAATGATGATGCAACGTACCTAGTTCCGAAACGTCGTTATTAAACATCTTCAAAAAACAAATTGTTTTTTATTATTGGATTTACTGCTCGAAAAAGAAACAATCAATATATTGAAAAAATCTAGGACTTATCTATTGAATATATATATATATATATATATATATATATATATATATCCTTACTGTGTAATAAAAATTACAGGTATTGGCGATCTTCTATAAAAGGTTAGATACAAAAGATTTTTTGTCAATATTTCTCTTATAGAGACATGCGTTTTTTCAACCGTAGTTTATAAATGATGTTATGAGTAAAATTTCAAAATTACGAAAGGAATAAGATGATGCTTCCTTGAAACCGGAATATAAAACGGAGTTATATGAACACGAGATAATAAACATATAAAACGAGATCTACATGCAAA